TGTGGAATCACCATTTTGGAGACTTAGGCTTGATCTTACACCAGTTTAATTTTTTTTCTCCAAGTGATTTCCACACAAGGGTTATTCCATACGAACTCAATTATTGATAGAATATGGTGCCCGACTTTCTCGATTTTCGCTATAAAAACTCTCAGCGATTGCAATCAATACCAAAAATCCCGTTAAAAAAAGGAGAATTTACTTCAGCATATTAGTGAAATATCGTTCCAACCCCCCCCCCCACCCCCAACTTTGAGGGAAAAATAAAAAAAAACCTCGGACTGCGCAATTTCCATCTCAGGATCCGTTCAACATACGGTGGCGTGCAATAGCTGGAACTGGAGCCCTTTAAATCGTAAACAATTCACCCCATAGATACTTGGAGTTTTAATGAGATTTCAGCATAATAGTTGAGTTGGAAAATGTGAAACTTTGACCATCTTGATCCTCAAATATCCCTATGTGGCGAGGGAGAAGACAAATTTCTCGTTACGGTAAATTGCACACCTCTCTCAAATCTATACGCAGTCTCAAGTAAATAAAAATAATATGTCAGCGAATTGAACATTATAAGAGCCAAAATTTCGCTCACCATAGACGTTCCTAAGCGGCACTTGGTGGCAATGAGCAAAATCAAAGAAAATAAATACATCGACAAGCTGAGCCAAAATCCCCGCATTGAGTTCTGAAAGACCTTTCTAACTATATATCACACGACTACATTCAGTCACTTGAAGAAAAAGTGAAATTTTGGAATATGCAACTTTTGAAAAATTGTTTAAATAATTATTTTTTTCCGAAAAAATAAACAAGTTCTTATATGTCAATGGAAAAATCTCACCCTCACCTTTCTACTGACACTACCCTTCATACCGTACGTGTCCCAGTTACGTTGAAAAATACTCGGCCAAAGATGACCAAAAAAGAGAAAATTCAGTTTTTCAAGTGAATTTTTCTCTATGTAGCATAAAAAAAATTCAACAAGTAACTTATACTATCGACTTACCTTAGAGAGAAGTGTAACTTACTCTAACGAGAAATTTGTCTTTTCCCTCGTCGCATAGGGATATTTGAGGGTCAAAATTGCCAAAGTTTCCCATTTTCAAACTCAATTATGATATGCTGAAATCTCATTCCAACTCCAAGTTGGAAGCAATGAAGCGAATTTTTGGCGTATTAAAGAGTCCAGTTCCAGCTATTGCACGCCACCGTACTATGAACGGTTCATGAGATGGAAATTCAGCCGTCCGTGGAGTTTTTCCGTTTTCCTCCAAGTTCGTGAGGCGATATTTCACTAACCGCAGATCCGATGAAGAGTCGTTTCTTTTTCTACGGGGCGTTTAGATCGATTGAAATCGCTAGTAATTTTTCCCGCGAAAGTCGAGATGGTCGAGAGCACTACCTCTTGAGTTAGAATGGAATAACCCACATAGTTTCTCAGAAAGAATCTTAAAACTAACTTTTAACGACATAGCAATATCTGCGTTAAGTGCTGCATCAGTGTTTGAAGTGATTAAAGAAGTTGAACGTTTCAATACGGTGCTATTTTCGTGTTAAAAATTTCCTAAGACGCTTCAAAGAGGAAGATTTTGATGTCATGGGCACGTCAACGGTATGTTATTTGGTTAATAAATCCCAAGCGTTGCTAGAACGTTGATAGGCATGCATGTTTTGGTCTTTTAATCCTGCAATGCATGCTTTTTTAATGTACCAAAAACATTTTTGACGATCGTATTTTTCCGTGTAGTTGATGAGAAAAATAATGAAAAAATTATCTTTCATTTTGGTCTCTTAATTGCATTGTACGTTTCAAAGCAAATCAGAGCGTGCCATATCTGGTACACCATGCAGTGTAGGATTAAGAATAATATGAGAAGGAAACACTATGCAAATACTCCCGAAAATCGACTGCTGTCCTGAAGTGAGGTATGAGGTATCATGTTCCAGATAGTGACAACATTGCTTGAATGTAATATATGGAATACAAGGTGAGTCAAAAGTCACTGGACGAATTTGAACAGCTATAACTCTGCAAGGAAGGCATTAATTTGCAAATGATTTTTTGTACATGAAAGAGCGCGCGCTAATTGACGAAACAACATGGAAATTGGCCTGAAACACCAAGAAGGAATGGGATGAGCCTGTACAAAACGAAAAGCAACATTTTTCAAACATAAAAGTGATAATTAGGGTACAACGGACATTCCACACGCGGATTTTTTGACACTCGAATTTCTTTATGTGGTTCTACTAGCAGATTAGAAGAACTAAATGAAGAAATTCGAAAGTGTCGGAAAATCGAGAGTACCGCCACAGCGACGGGAGAACTGTTGATTGACCGGCAGTTGCTGCTTCTATGGTTAAAGACCAGGTATATGTCGAAAATTCGCACACGATCATTGAACTGAAGCAACGCATCACTGAGAAGATTGCTGGAGTTGCTTTCGGTGACGGCTCGCGTGATGAAGCTTGATGGTACTCAATATCATAGCCAGTAATCACAGTCATTTTTGCGCCAAGTAAATATAATTTTTTTTCCCAAACGTTACATATTTGTTGAGTTGATTATTGCATACTTTCCTATGCAAAAAAACCAGTTGCAAATTGATGCCTTCATTGCCGAACTACAGCTGCTCAAAGTCATTCAGTGACTATTGACTCATCCTCTATAACGAAATCGTCGTGATTGTAACCTCAATAACGTTGTGTGAATGTTACATATCTATACCCCCACGTATTTAATTATTTTAACATTTTCATATGGTATGAATCCTTACTTTAATGCATGAATCAACGATCTCTCGCGCCTCCATACATCCAATGAGTTTTAAAATTATTTTATAGGTCGTAGGGTTTTGTGGAATTCAGGGGATTCCGAATCTCCCTAGGGAGAGACAGGATTCCACTAAACCAGCAGTTTAGCAGTTACCTAGCTTAGGTTTAGCAATATACTCTCGAGAACCTCCATAATGTCACCTCCCCCTATGGGGATTCCAAATAACCCGGATTAGCTGCCAATGTTTCCATCATTTTGTTTACCCATAGGGAGAAAGTGAATTATCAAGACACCCGGGAGAAATGGAATTTCATTTCAGTCCATGTATGAAAGAAAAAAATCAACGTCAATAAGATTCGAAGCGGAGTCAATTAACAATATACTTGTCTTATTTTGGGAGGCTGCACGGCTTTCCCCCATGACATTTGGATGAACATGTTATGCCTAGTTTTTTTTTTACACTGCACTTGTTGGTGCGATAAGACTTCTTGCACTTGCAGATGGATCCTGCACCTCCATTGGCGTAGCTTGTTTCGGCCCTCAAAGCCTTCGCCTTCGTTGACGCAACCACTGTCTTCCAAGCTTCTCTTTCTTCGTTAGTGGCAGGCAGAATCAGGCGCAGCATTCTCACTGATAGCTATAGTCTATTCTCGACCAAAGTTTTCTGATACTTCCAAATAAAGACGGCAAATAAGCTTGACGGATGAGGTTTTGGGCAATAAATTCTAGGGTTTTGCCCCCGCCCATTATGGGAAGGGTTATACAAATAAACAAGGTTATCAACGCGTGATATGGATATTTATGCATTTTCTTCGTGTGAGTGTCCTGCGGATGTCGTGGCGGCCATGGGAGGATTCCAAAAGAATCTGACAACCCTGCGCATTCTTTCCCAAAAGGGTGACACTCACATGTCAATTCCAGTTAATCACTTTATGGCTACCAGCAATAAAAGTGTTAAAGGGATTCCATATCCGATCATTTTGGTCGGGAACAGATTATAACACGGTATTCTTAAATAATCTCGTAAACGCAAACAAAAGGAGAATTGCCCTCGGCGGGACAAGCCGTGGGAAGGGTAATTTTCAAGCCAGGGAGATATGGAATCTCCCTAGGGTGTAGTGACATTGACACGACTTTGAGAGGATTACGCTAAACCCGCGGGTTTAGTGGAATCCTGTCTCTCCCTAGGGAGATTCGGAATCCCCCTGAATACCACAAAACCCAACGACATATATGTAGCATAAAGAGAATTTCGTGACTTCCGTTAAGTTAATGCTGCAAAAACGTACTCGCTGAACAAATGCCAAAGTGTATATTTGCAACCAGCAGGCAACATGTTCCAGCAACAAACATGTGCTACCTGGGGTAGAGCTGTCGGATGGATTTCGAGCAATTAGTAGTAGGATTATTACTGGAAACATGCTAAGGTAGCTTGTTACGGATTCCTGTGCCCAAAATATCCAGAAATAATCGGAAGTTATGGAATAATTGAGGAGTTCTCAAGGGGGAAAAAGTGCGGAATTGCCTATATGCCCTTTTCCTGTCTCCACGCTCATGTGCAGCATTAGGACATGAGCAAGCCATCTGGAGTGATTCAAATGTACTTGTATTGAGTTGTGTATGTTTTGCTAGTTTTTTTTTCTAATTTTCCTTTTTTTCAAATAAGTCCTTTGTCCAGAAAGCTCTTCGATTCTGCACAGAGGAAGAACGTAACTTCAGATTCGGCGAAATAAGAGTTTCGTGTGAGAAATTGTCAACAGCAATATCGCAAGAGAAATTTAAGAGAGTAAGAGTAAACATCAATATTTACAAAGAAGGCTCATGTGGCACAGGCGGCTGGCTGGATACTCGCCTGTTTCGCGAATGCCTACTTGCTACTTCTCATCTCTGAATGGACGCAACACCCTCTATCCTCCCCATTCGTGAATACAAAGTGCAGAAATATATTAATCTGTTCATTGACTCGATTGGCATTTGTGGATGTAACATACCCATAGCTCCAGCGAAGTATGTGAAGACACCGATGTTGTGATACTCGGCGACGAGATCTTTGAGCGTCGAAATGCCTGAAGCATCGATGAAACTAACTCCCGTTAAATCCAAGATGAGATTTTGAAAAGGAAGTCGCGGTTCCTCGACTGTTCTTATCGCTATCGACGGCTCGGAGCTGCCGCCCGTCCCGCACTCGAGTTCTCCCCCGTCCTTCTGGATGGGGAAATTTATTTCATTCGATTCCATCTTCTTCTAGATGAACTGGAAATGAGAAAGATCTTGCCTTCAGCTTTCTGCGACGAGCAGCCATACTCTTGTGGCGCTTTTCCGTGTCCTTTCTCCATTTCTCCGGATCCAGGTGGCTGAGCTTGTAGACTTGTTGTTGGAATGTCTCCCGATTGGCGAAGTGGATCCCCGCCCCATAATGTAGGATCTTAATTCCTTTCTCTTCGATTGCCTGGCAATGACAGTCGAATGCGTCATGCATTAAGTACTTCTTTTTTAAATGTATATTAGAGTTGCTGAAATAGGCTAGAAAAGCCTGAACTAAAAACAGGATTTCATGAAATGGTGATGCAGGTGAATGTCATGTGTCTTGTGTGAATAGGGGTGATCTATGCATTGCAATCATGATGTCCATATTTATTGGAGGGGATAAACCATGCAGGTGAAATTTTGCCATACCGGGCTCGGTGGCTGAGCGGTTCCGGTTTCCGGGAAACCCGGGAGGCAGGAGAAAGAATTTGGGTGGTGGCAGGCTCTTTCTACCGCCGACCCACCTGCTTTCATCTCGAGTGTCTGCTTTAGGTGTGGTAACACTAGCATCATTCGGCGCGGGCACGCGTGCGTGTGTGTGTGTGGAGATGCAGGTGCAGTACACCAGTCCAGATCACTAGTATCTGTCATTGGGCCCAGGATATTCCTCGATAGGTGCTCTATCGGGTTCACAGAGAAACATCCCCGCATGAAAGACCGTAATGCCTATTGCGGTGCCTCTGTCGAACAGGCCCTTCCTCTGTGTGGAGCTTCATACGTCCGATGCATTTGATCGCTGCACATCCTGTCTTAATAATGATAGTAAAATTATAAACGAGAGATTTAACGTTACAGTAATGACTTAAAAAAAAACGCTTTAGAAGGATGTCCCTCCACATCTGATTCGAGTCTCACTTAAGGAATTGCCTTTCAACAAGTTGCATGTACGTTGCCTTTTGTCTTTTAAGCCAACAATGACATCGACCAGAAAATACATTGTCTCTAAAATGCATTTCTCACAGAAGTGAAAAGCAAGCAGAGAATCGGGTCACATACGAGATGCGTTCAAGTTCTAAGGTCTCCTAATATTTTTCTGGGGACCGGGTGCAGAAAGAAACATGCGTTTGAGCTTAAAATACGCGGGTACTCTTTGTTTATGCATGAACGAGATGGCAGCACCGTACAGCATATTGCATCAGCGATTTTCCAGTGGGCAAAACAGACCCCTAAAGAAGCGTTCGCGGCAGCCATGGAGTCATGGCGTCGACGTTGTGAAAAATGTGTTCGTCTACAGGGAGATTATGTTGAGAAGCGACAGAAGTTTCAACTTTCTGGTGTAAGTAGTTTGTCAGAAAAAAATTAGGAGACCTTAGAACTTGAACGCACCTCGTAAATCCCGAGAAAATTCGAATTGATTGAAATTAACAGGAAAACAAATAACGGTTTGAGGCTGACCAGGCCGAAGCGGCAAACGTCGACGTAGATGCCCATGTCGGGAATGTGCCCGAGGACGCAGGCGTAAGCTCGCTGGCATCTCCAGATGAGGGAGAAGAGCGAGGCGGCGACACCTATGGCCAGGCCGTAGTCGATGTCGATGAGGGTAACGGCTAGGAAAGTGGAGACCCACACGAACGCGTCCAGTTTGCTCACCCGCCACGCCGTCTTCAGATCTTTCACCTGAAGGAACATCCCCCTCAGCGCCACCAGGATGATCCCTGCCAATACGCACTTTTCCCATCGGGGAAGGAGAAAAATACTGCAATTACTGCAAATATATACTTATAGGATGGTTTTAAAAAACGCTCAACCGTTTTCTATGGAAGAAACACAGTTTCATAAATGCAGCAAAAAAATTTAAATTGGATACGCGATCAATAATTGACAGTGATAAGGTATTGAAGTGCCTGCCAGCTTTTTCAGAACCCCTACCTAAGTCGTGCAATGCCTATTTAGAGGTGAATTAAAAGTGCTTAGAGGTAGATCATCCCACCTCAAGTGAGGTGATTACTTGTGCTCGACCGTCTCAGAATTCGATTAACTTTTCAACTTTAATTTTTCAAGGGACAGTTGAATCCACCTGATACTTGACAGAGGTTCATGAATCTAAGTGGATTTTTTTCACTTCCACAAAATTCGAGGCAAAATTTGCCTCGAATCGTTGTCAGAATTTCTTCTCCATTCAAATAAAAAAAAAATCATAAAACACCAGATGTGGGAAGTTAATTCTCGACCGCGCCAAAGTGATAGGAGAAAAGATCTGACACTATTCCGAGGTCGGTACGTTGTCAGTCTACAAAATAAAAAAGGCTACTTCAAAGTCTATAATAAAGAAAAAGTTGCCCATAGGTTGATTTCAAAACGGTAGTTCAGTTGCAGTTCGGTTCTAGTTTCAGCTCAGACTATAGTCTGACTTAAGTTCCACTGTGGTCTAAGCGACTATTCACATATCCAAATCCCAACTGGAACTGCGACTGAACTAAAACCGAAACTGAAATGAAACTGAACTGTGACTAGACTGCAGTTTTGAAATCAGTCATAGGTAGTCACTTCATGGACAGCCTGTAGAAAGTTTCCCCTGAAGTAATGTTCAAGTCAGTATTACAGAAAAACTCTTCGGTTACTCTAAACCTCTTAATCGTCGATGATATTTAGGTCCTGTGTCCAAATGAATGGGGATTCTGAGAGCAACAGTGGAAGATTTTTGTACTCTTTGTACATGCAATTACGTTCTCAATAGATTTTTTCTTGAATTCTCGTGGCCAAAGCACTGAATTGTATTTGAGAGAGCCCAACCCCTTCGGAGTCACTTTTCTCCATCTTTCACTTCCTTTAGTGTAAATTAGGAATACATTTCAGAAATGTAAGATAAACAATTTCTTTGATTCTTTCATTGATTCATCCTTCAGTCATTGTGGGGAGAAAAATAATGCAGGCCAACAAATGGCTGACCAAGAGGCTACGTTTGAAATTTTAGTTCTGGTCACCATGCAGCCACAGCATCAATGACTTTCCTCCACAAGATTCCTATAGGGGTACATTTTTATTCGCAATTTCATGTTGCCCTTATGAGATTGCTCATAGCCTCGCTTTGGCCGAATGGATTTTCGTGAAAATATTTAGTTCTCTTAATATCGATCTGTGGAGTTAGCATGTATTCGTGAATGTGTTCCAATTAAGGGAGAAGGTGCTTGCCAAGTTTGAGGTAGGGGGTCCTTTAGCCGTACGCTATATACGAGGGTCAGTCAAATGAAAACTAGAAACATTTTTTTGGGGGGAGGGGGGAATAGTGTGTTTTTTCCTCAAAGCATTCCCACTGTTGCTGAGGCACGCGTTGGATTTCCTTGGACGAACGAAGCACTGTGAACGCCATATTGCTTAAGCGACTGCGCGGTTATTTCTGATCGTACTGGATTGCCAGTTTTTATATAAAACAGGTTAAATGGTTAAATGGTCCATCCGCAAAAAAATTTCTGAGTATAGTGCACTTAGTGCTCATAGAACCATGTTCCTTTAATAGAAAATTGTAGTTTTTGAAATTATGCAAAAAAAATGAACTGATCTCTCGATACATACCCCTTTTCTTCACTTTCAACAAGACGGTCACTGGAATATTCATTCTTTCCGTATGGAGTTCGAAGAGCAAATTTTTTGCAGATGAGTCATTCCACGTCAAATCAACACACTACAAAACATGACCTCCTCCAATTTTTATGAAATTTGGACCAAAGCTTTCTACCATTGAGAAAGTGGGAAATCCTACATACGTTTCTCTTCAGTCGCTTAGTTCTAAAGATAATAAGCTGAAAAGACAATGACTCCTTTGTTACGTTTTAGCAACTCTGTCCCTAAATACGCTATAACTTTTCTTCTTTTCAAGGTAGAGAGATGCTTCATGGCTCTTCTGAAAGGTCACTTCCTGCCTTTTCCGATAGCATTATATTTGTTAGTAATATCACGTCGATTTGCAAAAATACCGCCTCTTTGATTTTAACCAAATTTCGCTTACAAACTTGCCTCTTTAGGTAGGGCAAGTCAGCCGAGAATTATCTTGGGATATCAATTACTTTTTCAAATTTTCACGGTTTTTTGAATCATGGGTTTCATTGCAAACGTCGAGGTCGAATAGTCAAATATGAAAGACACCAGTATGTTGCATTCATTTAAAAAAAAAGAAACATTAGAGGAAAGCCCTCTAAAAAAAAAAAATTTGGATAGGCCTGGATTGACCGTGCCTCTGCAGAAGGGGACTTCACCATATCGTCGGTCCATCTGTATCGCAGCCATATGCCGGCAACCAGGACCCGTGTATTTACAGTATTTCTTCCTGCGAAGCGCCTATGAGTAATTCGTCCCTGAAGAATATTAATATCACAGGCTCACTTTGTAATTTGATAGCCTCTAAAGATTCTTGGAGTTTATTTAAGCTCCTGCTCAACATTTTTCATAGGCCTGACAAATAGCGAAGAAAGACTTCACGGAAATAAAAAGTTGGATGCAGCTAGGAGCCAAATGCCTTGCAGGTGTAGAATTATTGGGTTAACGCAAAAACCAAAATCCTAGCATGTTCATACTTTATAAAGGCTCAATGACTTTTCAATGCCCCACCTTGTTCCATTGGAAATGTACGTATTACAAACTTATCCTGCCCTTGTCGAGACTTGATCATTTCTAATATGATTCAAATGTGCAACGCACATCGGGATGAAACTAGACCGTCGCCAGGGCACAACTGACTAGGAACATGAATCAAGACCGCAAAAACGAAGAAAATGAAACCAGTCTTTTTTCGGCTTTGTAAGTCTTCGGTGACCTAAACCTTTCCATCTTCACACACTTCTACGAATGAATCCTTCGATGTATGGTCGCGTTCGCTCAACTGTCTTTCGACAAAATATCCATTCGTCGACATGAGGTTCGATGATTCGATACCAACCCGTTTTGTTGCGTGTTGATTTGACGTGGAATGACCCAGATAGACCACTTTGCCTGTCATTCCTTCATGTGTTCACAAAGTTCCTATAAACATACCATTTAAATACTTGATGCCAATCAATTAGAGATTATTTTATAAAGCAGTTTTCTCATTTTCATTTTATGACCCATGTATACTGTATTCTGTCTCGTAACATTCCGAAAAGGACAGCCGCTAGAACGCAACAACTGAAGATGAGATTAGCCCACATTTGAGTCACTCTTCTCGCGAGGAGTTCTTCTTTAAGACTTTAAAAATGTTTACAGTCCTTGAAGTGATTATGTCTATACTAAACTTTTGTTGTTTCTGAACTGGTTGCATTCTTTCACTTGGGTAATAGCAATTCTATAAGTATCCCTGTTTGAATTATGTCGATTTTGTAGGGCAGACTGTCAAAATATATTAAAATTTCATTTTTATCTTATATTTTATGATGTTCTTGACGTGTTCTTACCACTAATTTATAGTAGTTTCGATGCAACGAAAATGATTGAAATTCACGGAATGCCAAAAACTCTATTTAAGGAAGGAAAATATTGAAATCGGAATAATGAGGAGAAATGCCCCTCTAACCGAAGTTACCTTGGGCAAGGCCTCGAAGAGCGGCGCAAGGAAGAAGAGGATGAAGACGAGCAGCGCGCAGGAGACGAGGCTCGCAACTTGCGTCTTCCCTCCGACGCTCTCCTGCACGAGACTCCGAGCCAGGGACGCGGCAAACGGCGGGCACCCGAACGCCGCTCCGAACGCGTTCCCCGCTCCCTGACGGTTCGCAACGCATCAAAGCATCAATCGACCGATCTTCACAACCGATCGGAAAGTCAGAAGTCCTACTCCTCCAACAATGACCACGTTGAGCTATCTGAAGCCAAGGGGAATTTCTGGAGATCTTTCCTGGGGGGAATTTTTTCCCCGTTGGATTGAATTTAGTGAGCAAATTAACTGCAGAAGAAATAGGCCAACTAAGGTGCTGCAGTACATTCAAGGGGAGGGTAGATCGAATGCTCAAATTTTCGCTTGGGAAAAACTTATAGAACTGGTCACAATGACGGACCTGAGCCAGGAGTTCCTGATTAGGGCAGACGTGGTAGTTGGCCTTGCGTGCAAACAGCTTCGCCAAGGAGATGGACGTGGCATAGCTCACGATGGCGATCACGAGGCACTGGATCGTGAAGTCCACCTCTCTCATGAGCCACACAGGTGGCACCTCCGGATGAGGCAGTCTGTGTCCGGAGGAGAGGGATGCCAGAGATGAAGATTGGAAAGAATTCGAAGCACCGACAATTCTTCCAATCAGCATGATATCACTTTAAGCCAAAAATACTCTAAAATGAGCATAATGGTTAAATTTGACAGCATTTTGGCAGTACTACCTTAATCTTAATGCTCTACATATGCAATTGCAATGCTATTATATTTCACCCAGGCCTGTTATTGAATAGAGATTTGGTGGAAATACAATGCGATTGCAGCAGTGAAAGTTTAATTTTTATCAGTAGTTATTAATTCACACTGCGATATTATTGATCCGGAATCATAGACGTTTGATGGGAAGAAAACTTTTTCACAAGAATCAAGAGACAGTAGACCGACCCGGTCGGGAGATCTCCGACGGTGGCGAGGTCGTAGTTGCCGTGCAGATTCGCAGCGTAGGACACCCCGGTTCCGATCACCACGCAGATCAGTTCGATTGGCACTGGGAATCTGCACATCTTGGCCAGGTGCGACTGTTCGAGAGAGTAAAGGCTTTTCGAGATCGCTACGAAAAGAAAATTCGAATACGACGAAATGACTCAGAAATGTAAGTACCTTGAGGAAGTCGTTGTTGAGGACCAGGACGAGCATGGTGACTCCAGACACGATGAGGGCTGCCACGTTCGATGAAACGATCATAGGGAAGAAATCTCTGTACGTCTGCAGAATACGTGGGATCAAAGTGATGTCATAAAAACTCATCGAATGCAGGACGATATCCGCTTGCAAATGGTTCCGTGTTCCACAAATTAAAAGTGTACACCAAATACGACGGACATCGCAGTCTGCTCTACGAGCCTCTACAATACGGGTGTTTCTTATAATGCGATTTATTTGCGTTTAACTGGTCTTCCGATATTTTCTGAAACAAGTCATTTTACTTCTTTCACAAGCTTGGCTGGCTAAACCCTTCCCCTTCTCAAATCTAAAAAAAAAAATAATTATAAGGCACTCTTAAGACCATAATTTGGAAAATTTGAAATTACGTTCAGGTGGCATAATTGAGCCTTTCGGTTGAAGAACGGATGCCCCCTGAGATATCGGAAACTGGAAGAACTCGGCAGAGTACTCGAAGTGCTAACTTGTTAACCAAAATCGCTGGTAAAGACGATTTATTGGTGGGGTTTGCTGTTCAAAAATACTCGGGATCTTCATCAAGTTGTGAGGTGAAAGGTGGCACAATAGTGGATCTGACACCGAATACTATTGTAGAAAATAATAATAACAATAAATAGAATCGTTTGAAAATTTTGAACGGTGAACCACCCCTAATGTTTTGGTGAGAGTTGCAGTCTATGTGGCACCTGTAGCTGGCCGGCTGATCTTGCTTTGGGAGTGCCACCCCGTCGCCTCTCGTCTCCGACGGGATGCAGCCTCCTTTTCCCTGCGAAGGCTAAGCATGGTAGCATCTCATTTCACCCGAGTGTCTTTCATTTTTCTTAGTTCTTATTTTAAATAATTTCCTCAGGGCAGTTCTTAGCATTCCTTCAAAGCTAATGGACGAGACAGACAGAGGCAGCAGAGGAAAGGAGACTCACCCAGAAGAAAAGAACATTACCAAAGGGAAGACAGACAACGATCCGCCTTCCCGCACCTCCATGGGTTCATCCACACTGCATGCCTTAGAAAACTCAAGAGCATATGCTTTTCCCATACCCTTCACACCGTGATGTGAACCAGCATGAATCATTCCATTTGGGCCGACCCGATTCCACGCACGTATTGAGACCGCGCAGGACCGTGCAGTAATTGCTCAAGATTCACATTATATGGTTTAATTCTTAATGGACGAATTTTTCTGCGAAAATGGGTCATGTCGAATGTCTCAACCAGAGAAATGTAGCAATGGAGGAATTTAGAAGTTTGGAAAACCTTTTCCAAGGCTTCCCTTCAGGCAAAATATATCCCTTTACAAGCAGAAATGAATCGTCGTGGCATCGAAATTCATGGGCACACGGATGAGGTAAGGGCATCGGTCCTCTGAACCGTTTCGTAAATTCCCACTTCTCAGCCTAAAAACATGGGGAGGGGAGAGTGGAGGAAGGCTCCACTCCTTCCATTGGTTTGGCAACCCAAAATTAAAACATGGACCACATTCATTTCCACCACGACTTATGTCGAACGAGTGCCTTGCGGAAGTGGATATCATGCCAATTGTTTTCGGCGCTTCTGCATTTCTCAATCTATTGCTCACATTCTCAAGAATTGGGCATCACCAAACAATATGACCAAAAGACCAGCCATAAAAGTTCCATATAGGCAACTCGATACCTCCTCTCGCAAGAGGATATAGTTGCACGGTACAATGGAGCGATTCTGCTTGGCAGTGGAAAGGAATGAAATGAGTTCCAGAGAGCCTACCTGGATGAGTTTCGTGGGTCCATAATGTTTGGGCAGGGGAAGACCGAACACGTGTTGAACCTGAGACGTGGCGACGTGGACGGCGGCCCCCGTCGTGAAAGCGCTCACCAGGGTGTCGGAGAGGAACACGGTGAGGCGCCCCATCTGCACCACCCCCATCAGGATCTGTGCCCATTAAAGCAGATCGTGCGGAATCATTAATGCAGTAAGGTGCTTCTGGCTCCTCGTGAGTGGGGAAGGCATGTCAATTACCACACGCAATGCAAAATGGAAAATACTACAGTGCAAGAGTCGCATAACTCGAGTTTATTAACTGAATAGTTAAGCTGTTTCAAGGGTAACACTTACACGGTCAGAAACCTCATTTCAAGTCCTAGGGATTCGTCTGGGTATCAACATCGAAAACATTTTCTCTTCAGGGAATTTTCATTTAATGTTGAACAGGAATTACGTCTATTTTTGGAATAATAAAGATTCTCATTACACCGTTGAACATCAGTGAGCAGGAGGAGCATGCTGGGTTCGATCGTTTCATTGTGATTAGGATTATCCAGAAGCAACTAGATTCGAAAGCACAATGTCATTGATGAAAGAGTGATTTTTTTTTTTTAAGACAGGACAGGTGACGTACATACAGGACAACGGACGCATTTTACATGACACAGAGAGGAAGGGGGTGCCCGCTTGGCACGAGCACCACATCCGTATCACAGTCCCTTAGGCTGGGACACCCCTTTACGGTCCTGTAGGAGGCCTTAGGGGCAGCTCATGGGTTGCCTACGCCCATGACTGGGACGAGTGGTTTTGTACTGCACCCGCATCTCCTAGACGTGGCACACAGGGTGGCGCGTGTGTTATTCCACGCTAAGCAGATACTCCCCATGAAAGCAGGTGGGTCGCCTGTCGGCGGAGGAAGAGGACGGACGCGATCCCTCGCCTCCCGGGTTTCACTCGGAAGTCAGAACCACTAGGCCACCGAACCCCGGTATGAAAGAGTGATATTGAACCTCACTCACTAATAGAAATTTGAGAGAGTCATTGGAAGGGACATTACTGCATTCTTCAATGCCTTTCACGTCGCACTCCGTCTTAGCGTGCAAACTTCGCTATTAACCCATTGGCATATAAAGCCAGGGATTTCCTGGGCTGATGCTTACATTATCTCATTACTTCATCAACAATGGACATTAGAGATGTGACAAACCTATAGATATGAAAGTGTGCACTAAAACGTAGGATTTTGATCATATGGAACCTGCAGCTGAGTGCATCAAATTAAATAGCGCTTCAACGAGGAAAAATAACAACTAAAGGGTTTCCCAATGAGTTAATACAAAAAGGGGGGAGAATTTCCACAATATCACTTATCACTCGATTCTACAGGAATAGCTGTCGCAGGGGGGAGAACCTCTACCCTTGGATTTCCTTACATCTCCATCTCGTATTAAAATTGGCTTTTCTAATCGAATCAGAAGCCATAGAGAACGAAGACCCATAATTAGAACTAACTTATTGAAAAATTGGTTCATTTTCAGGTTTTTTCAGAGTTTTTACAAAACTCCTTACCAGGTTTTCAGCAGTTGAAAGTGAAGGCAACGTGTCAAACTTCCTTCCTTCCAGAATGGATCCATGTGATCCAAATTTAAATCAAATTTTCTTAAACACGAAGTTATAACTGTCGATACCACAATGTATTATTGCTTCTGCACGCTTGTATCAAGGTTCGCATTTTTTCGGTACATTTTGAAAGCGATTCATAGAGCTGAATCTCTTGCTTAACCCTTTAATGCATGACGTAGCAGATATACTTCAAACCAAATTAAAAATGTTAGAATACGTAGGTAGCGAGCTCCTGAGAAAAAAGTGGTTCATAGCAGCCCCAGTCCATGCAGTCTGAACAGGCCGACAACATACTGGACAGTTTAGTGGTTCTCTGGGACGTCACATGAGATCATAGGTGAAGAAAGAATCGATGTTGGAAACACATTTTTCACAATTCAACACCTTTAATAACGGACCAACTTCCCGTTTCGCTTGTTCAAGACAATATTTTAAGAAGTCGTCACTGGAGGACGCTCTAAAAAATGTGAAAACCAGAAAAAAAGCAAGTAGAAGGTAAATGTTCGACATGGTCAGCGCACCAAGTGGATCAGACGAATACTCAGCGGTTCATGTCCGTTTCAAGAGATATTTTTAACTTTTATCATCACCGGGTCGATATAGGGAGCATGACATGCCCCTAGGGTGTGACTTATTTAGTAGCACCGGATATGATGGAGCAGCAAGGTGTAGACACGAGGAAATAAGATCCAGGAGTGTACCAAGCGTTAGCATGGAACGGTATGGCGAAGTCAGGAGATGTAAGAGCTGAAAGATAGATAGCAGTGGGTAGCATAGAGTTGCATGATGTACACGTGCGAGAAGAGAGTTAAGACAAGAATAGCAGCGGATAGCATGGAGTAGCATGGTGAAAACCCTTGAAGAGAGGGTTCAGAGGAAAGTAGCAGAGTATAGCAGGGAGTACCAAGTAGTATGGGGCAGACCCGTGAGAAGAGGACTTGGGAGAGTAGTGGGAGAGCAGTGAGTAGCATGGAGGAGCATGGTGCAGAGGGAAGAATGCGGTATAGCAGCGGTTCTCAAACTTTTTACGCTGCGCCCCCCATAGCCACGCTGGTTCGGTGTCGCGCCCCCTTTCTCTCTGAGAGGAGCACCTATAAATTGCAATCCGTTTCCTATTTTTGCAATCATCGCATGAAAAAAACATCCGTTGGATGATTTCAACGTTTCAGGGACCAGGTCACAGCTAAGAAACGGAATATCATTCGCGTAATTCCATGAGAACGACGCTCACATGTTTCCGGGTCCACAAATGATCGAACCTGGACTGGACGGTGACAACGGCGCAAACCTCGTTTTCAAAGACTTGACAGAGAAATGTCTTCGGAAATTTTTCCCTGCCCCTTGAACCCAGCTCTTATGCATCATTGAGTTTCTTCAAGCATTCATTTCAACATGAATGTATCGTCCGTGCACCCTTTCTGTCTAAAGCATTCAAGTTACAGCCCGAAGGGACGCACGATTCATTTGTCATCTTCATTCGAATCGTAGTAAATCGCTAATGGAAATGTACACCCCTTGAAAATAGGCATCAGATTTAAAAGTCTGCCCCTTTGAATTGCTTTCATTTAGTCTTGCAGGATCTTTTATTTAGAATTGCTTTCATTTAGTCTGGCACTTTCTGGAGAAAGTGCCAGAGACCTGAAGGAATGTGACCTTTTTACAGTCAAAAAAAGTTTTATAAATAAAATATGCCATAGTTTTTGAAATTGCACATTGTTGTAGATAATAAAAAAGTATCTCCCATGACCTGTCGCCCCCCCTGGGACCCTCTCCGGCCCCCCCCCCCCCCTTCCCCTCCCCCTAGGTGTCGCGCCCCCCAGTTTGAGAACCCCTGCGGTATAGAGTAGCATGGGGTAGCATGAATCGTATGGTGTATACAGGAGAGGAGCTAGATATAATATATTTCGCCGAAAGCAAATGGAGCCTCTACCCGAATTAAAGACACCTGGCTTCGTCTGACAGGCTGAAATTTCTGGTGAAACTATTTTAAACATTACGCTGATTCAAGGTCAAGGCTCATCCGTATTTTTATATTTTCCTTTGCGTTGAGGTATGGACGAATGTTGACGGACCGACTGAGATCTCTAGGGTCCATGCAGCGCGGGTTAGAAAGCTAAAAATGCTGTTTGTAGCAAATGAACAAAAATAATATTTTTGGATCTACTGCTTACAAACTTGAGGGGAAATTTTTTTCCCACGTTTCCCGTTTTCTAGGACGTAAGTAAAACACACCATATTTTTTTCGCCGAAAAAGAAAAAATCAAGCATTGAAGGGTTAAAATACGTGAGCATATTTGAAGTGATGTCCGAATCGCATGTCCGGAAACGTTTTTCCAGGCTTTTCGTGATTACAAAAGAGGTGGTGTATTCTCGCGGATGAGTCACAACTAGGCCTGCGAAACCCCCCATTCCCCCGCAATGCTCTTTGTGGGGGACGGAGGTTGACGTACCTGGAAGAGGCCGACCGTAAGACTGACGGCAGATGCAACCAGGATGGCTCGGTGGATGTCCGTGTCGTCTGTGCTCAACGCAGTGGAATTCTGTAAGGATTGCTCCGATTGCATCCCGTCCAGCTTGTCCTTATACACCTCCACGACCTTCCCCGTCATAAGGGTCACCACCGCGAAGCTACCTGCAATCGCAGATCGACTAAATTGATCAAGATGTGCTTTCAGAAATTCTGTGATAAGAAAATCCTCACAAAGCACATGTCAAGAAACTCCTTACAGTAGGCCCTACAGCAGAGACCCGATAAACGCTCGATGGGACGGCCGTAAAAGACCGACATAAAGGTGACGTCATTTGTAGTAACACTCGATGCATATGTCAGAGCAGACTTACCCATAGATATATGTCGAGAGGTCCCCATGAGCACATAGATAGGGACTGGGAAGAAAGCCATGTAGATGCCATAAATCGGAGGAAGGTTCGCCAGCAGGGCATATGCCAAACCTACTCGTCCAAGTTCCAAAAATCCAATATAAAATCGTGTAGTGTACATTGTACATTGTGTATATTGTACCGTGACCAATGTTCAGGGAAATCACAACATTAAGGATATGTTCAAATTTCTCAAATTCTGGAAAACTATTTTCAAACAATTATATCGCCAGAATGCTAAGAAAATTGAAAAGATCATGAGAATTAAATAAAATAAATTTAACAGTCACCAGCTTCCACCAATGTGAAATACAGAAGATGATTGCATACAAGTTAACTAGAGAATAGACCATCGAATTCCGCGTAAATACGTCGGGATTGAACCTGGCAACTATCCCTCGGATGGCCAAACAGAAGTGTAAGGGTAAAGGGTAACTAGCGGCCTGCGGCCACTACGCTGGCCGTCTAATGAGCGGAAATTTTAAAAAGTTTACATAAAGATATGAAGCAGTTCGGTTCGAACCAAACACTAAAATCAAATATTTATGGCCTAGAATGGCAAAGCCTTGTAGGCCTTGCATATTAGGCCGCGGATAAGTGAGATCCTTTCACCACCGCTTTCAGCCTCTGTCAACTTTTACGGCCTAGCCTATGGCTCAGAATGGCAGAGCCTTGTATTCAATAGATCTGGCGCTTTAGGCCGTGGATGGCCTGGCCTGTGGGCTAAAATGGCATAGCATCGTAGGCCGCGTGCGTTAGAAGTGATTGCCACCACAACTTTTGGCCTCTTTCTATTAAAGTATTAGATTAGAAGAGAAAGAGAGAGGACCTTGTGGGACGTGCATGATGGCGACGGTGCAGCCAGCCACTATGTCTGGGAGGAGATCCCGTTGGACGTTGTACCTCGGGAGCCAGTAGAAGATGGGGAAGAAGGAGAAGAAGGTCGCCTTCGCCTTTTCCCAAGAACATTGGCAGTGGGAACCAAAAAACGATCGGGCTTTCTCACCCACCGCTACAGTATAACATTAACGCTCATAACTTAGAAGCACCTTAATCCTTCAACTGGTTGAAATTAAAATCAGGAAATTTAACGTAAAACTCGATGAATAGGCCGAATTCATGGATTACATGTAAATTAGGCCTCGGTCTGTTTGGATGTAAACACTGGCACGATACGCACTGATAGGGTCCTCGGATCGATAATGGAACTCCTGTTGAAGATCTTGTTGGGTGAATGACCTTCGTGGTCTGCTGAAGGGGGATTCCATGGCTGACATGAACTGGGTGATCCTCTCGCTGAACGACGTCTTGTTCGACCCGATCTGTCCCAAAAGAAAAGAGACGTCTTTTGAAAGCGCAAACCTTTCTAGCTGATTCTGTCTGGGTGGATTCGAGGAAGAAGAGAAAGAACTCAGGGGATGCAGGACCTTCTTCCTGCCCAGTCCTTAAAAATACCTTTGATGAAAGGTCGCAAAATCTTGGATGCTCAAGCACAGAACCCTAATTCTTCTCCTCTCTTCTTCCATAGAATCGAACGGGAGTCCTTGTATCCCGTGACGCAAGCATAGACCGCGAAACCTTAGCCCTTCCCCCGCACTACCAAAACTGTGTCATGATGAAGCAAATCGGGTTTCATTAACTAAGTATTTAAATACACATTTTTCATGCTGAATCTTATTATTGCGTGTGCTAACCTCGCAGTAGTCTGAAGTCAGTCTATTATGAACCATCACCAGGTTCATGCGTTCATTTTGTGAACAACTTACCCCAAACTACTCTATTGTCGTATACGTCAGCCCTGAACGCCAGACAAAACAAAAGACGGAAGAAACATATCAATAGAAACGAAGCGGGAGACACACCATGCTCTCAAAGCGCTGTTATGGAATGAAATTTTGGTAGCCATTATGGGGAAGATTCCATCGGTTTGAAATAAAATCTAGATCATAAGTGTTTCTCCGTATCACATAACACCAAGTGCCCCCGTGGGAACGATCATATGCATGCACCAGAACCCAGAGAAAGACGTCGCCGACGCGATCGAAGACATCACCGGGGAAATCTCCGAGCTCGGCTCTTTTGCCCCATTCATGCTGGCTCATAGTAATATGAATTGCCGACTGAAAGTGAATGGTCGTGGCTGGAAGAGAGTAGGTATGAATGGAGCACTTGGGAGAGCTGCGAAAATTGAAGTTCTAGGGAGAGCCCCATAAGTAATAGATTTTAATGACGAGCGAAGGAGTATGAATCCGTCTCCATTCTATCTACTCGTATCCATTCATACCTACGCTTCTCAAGCCGCAACCTTTCACTCTTCGGTCACCAGTGCTTCTTTTAACATTTTCTCCTCGCTGGCCTAAACCAAACATCGATGGCATTCATTTAATTGCCTGTAAATAAAAAAAAGCGGAGATCGGTATGCCAGCGAGATGGGTAAACCTTTCAGCGATCCCGCGTAAGATGATATAAATGTTATGCCAAACTAAAGTATAACGAACCTACTGCCATCATTTCAACGCCAACGATCCCCATCTTCATTATCTTACTATCTTACCAATAGAACAAGTTCAACTCTCCGACCCCTCTATCCCAAAAGACGTGAGAAAATCTGGATCGAAAAACTGAACCTCGCACTTAACTGGAAAATCTATCCCTATTCCCTCGCCTTCCCTCCTTTCCCGCTCTTCTTCCATGTCTCCCTCTTCATTTCATTCTCTCTGCAATGTGCTTTCATTCTGCATTATGCTGAATACCCGCCTCCCCTCCCATAGACCCTGTGTTGGATAACCTGACGATTTCACTGCTCGTTCGATCCTTGCTGAGAAGGACCTCCCGACCATGCACAGCCGCCAAGCAAGGAGGACTGGTCTCGGAAACCGAAGAAAACTCCAACATGTCTCCTCCACTCATCTCACAGGTCCACAGTCTCTAGCTGTGGCCACCTCCCTTGAGGAGTTGGTGCAGCGGTAAGATCACCGGGTAATCCGACGAATCGAGCAACATGGACTTAATAACTCCCACGACTCGCAGAACCGAAATGAAGACGTACTCCAAAATCTCAAGGATGGAAACATCAGTAAGAAAAAATCGAGTAATCAACACGTCGAAAAGATAGGTTTTAAGAATGAAAATGCCTATATCATTTATGCCAACCTAACATTATCGAAATCCAGACGTAGAAGTACGCCTACTCAAACTCACGTACACGAGAGGACCGGCACAGACACTTGCGTATCCAGAGAGAGCTCGACCGTGACAGCGAAAGGTTGAAAAGTGGAATATGTGACCTTGGGCTTGCCCATCCAGCTCTTGCGAGCAGGAACAAGTCTTCACGCGCACTATTCCGCCTCAGGCTATATTCACCCTCACTTGCTTTCAATCCAGTTAATGGCCTTTCTGTTATATTCCACTAAAATGTGTCTACTAGGGCCGTACCGATGTATTGACAACCACCGATATCGGCCGCCGGAATGGTGCCATCGGCAATCGGCAGGTTTTCAAGCTGCTGGTGCCGATGTCCAAAGAAGAACGCGCAGAACGAAGAAAAAGAAGGAAAAAAACACGAGAATGGGGCTTGGTAACTGATTCTCATCGGCAATAGTAAAAAAATTAGGGCTGTCCCGATGTATCGATGTGTGGATGGCATTTTCGATCTTTGGAATATTTCGGATAGTGGGCTTCACCACCCGTCGCGAAGGTCACAACTCCCTCCCTCCCCACACTCCCGATCCTAAGCAAGAGATTAGGGAAGATGGATCCGTCTTCCATATCCTTCCTTGCCCCGATCGAGGCAAGGAACGATGGAAGTGAAATCTCCGCCCGAACGCTGCGAGAAGAGACTGAATCCGCCTGAACCCCCACCCCCCGAAGGCATCTATCGATTTTTCAGGTCGATACATAGATGTTTTTGAAGCACCTAGTGTGACAGTCCTAATAAAGCAGAACGTCGCTTCCTAATAGGTCTATTTGAATATAAATAAATTTGGGAACATGGTTCTTCGCTGTTTCCCTACATGTCACAATAAACACCGGCACCGACCGATAGGTATGAGATCGTAATCTGTCATCGGCCAAATGTGGTCATCGCTAAAGCCCTAATTATATTGGTCTATTATACATATTTTTGACTGTGGTAAAACTGTCTTACATGCGGGGGGAGAGTCGAATAATCAAATGGACATGATTTACACAGCACGAAGCAGGCAGCCTCGTTTTTCGATATCCAACCGGGGAACCTCCGCTTCGCCTCGATCCCAGGGCCTGGATATAGAAAACACTCGCCATCCTGCAAATCGGTGTGAGACTCAAGGGGGGACGGAGAGGGGGGAGTAAAATCTTGCGCATGCGATGACGTCAGCGAGTCGTTCCACCATAAAAACGGGCGCTTTGGCCTTGACAACTCTACCACGCTGGTTAAGGCGGAGACAGGTAGCACGCATTCTTTCTCTTGTCTCTCACAGCCGCAATACAATCTTCTCGCGTTTGTCAGAGCCACCTGGGCAACATTGTACATACATTGCTGATCTGTTCCTTAATTTCGATCATATTCTTAGGTTCCTAAATTTCATTCACTCTCTTAGTAGCAGTTGCTATGAAGGACAGTGGCAAGGTTTGCATCGTCACATCGTGTAAGAATACTTATAGGAATCGGCAGGCATAAAATATTTCTTTCCATGAATTTCCATAATGTCTAGACAGAAAAAATGAATGACTTCGATCGCTTGGAAGAAAATCTATCCCCAGATATGCTTTTGTGTGCTCTCGTCCCTTCTCCTTATATTCCTATCGTGATCAAAACGCTATAAGGCGCTTGAAAAAAAGATGACGTTCCGACAAAGAATCTGGCCGAAGATCCAACGCAACCTCCCACATTCACGTTAGACGCCCCGAATGACGGTCCGTTTAAACAAATAGAGGAGCAGCAGGTCTCATCTCTTGAGAATGAAAACAATGACATAAAAATCATTGTACCGGAAGACTCATTGTTTAGAGGTAGAAATCCTTCGTCAGAAGCTGAAGAGAGTACAAAAGATACTGAAGCTGAGAAAAATTATTTTCACTCGGGTCATGTAAAAAAGGAACAGTCATCGAAGATCTCCGAGAAATGTGTCACTATGATTCCAAAATCCGTCCACAAAGGAATATTCACAAATACTCAATAGTGAAAAAAAAAATACAATGCAAGTACCCGCACTTCCATCTATTGGCTATGAGGATCTTCATACCTACCAGAACTCTTTTGAACTGAGACACCTGAATAGGGAAAATGCAGTGAGGATGAACTGGGATCGTTATGAATTGAAGTAGAAAAGTTTGGAATAATGGATACGAAAAAAAGGATTTTCATGACAGCTCCGATCCAACGTGAGGTGGCCGGACATTGAATTCACAAAACCCATCCCAAAAATGAAAAGAGATTTTCGGTGTATAGGACATTTTCACACGTTTCGGATTTCGCCATTTCACGCTCTTGCACGGGGTCCCGTGCCACAGGCGCACTTCGCTACCCTGTCCATTTATACAGCATACCCTATACTGCGAGCTGTTTCACCCCGAAACGCGTTTCTGCGTAGATATAAGAGGGGTCTCTCCGACTCCCCTTGGGTGAGACGCGTTTTCATTATCCGACTGTCCTTCATGCAACCACGAAAGCTATACGCAGCATTCGTGGTCTATAGGAAAATAGGAATATATTAAATTATAGGAAAATCATATATTTCATGAAACAGCATTTTGTTTCCCATGTTCTCTGGGGGCATTGCCCGAGCCCGTTTGCCCTCATGGCTTCGGCGCCTATGGTCTCAGCCCAACCCTTCTCGTCGCCTACATCTGAAGCCACGGGACGCTCTAAAAAAAAAGCCGCCCCGACGATGCAAGTGATTTTCTACGTCGACGACCTTGTCTTCTTGACGCCCTCCCGTGCCGCACTGCCATCCGGGCTAGAAGCACTCCTCGTGTGGTCGGGTGATAACAGCAGATGAACATCGCAAAAACGAAAATAACGAAATTCAGAGAAAGTGGATAGATAAGTGTAGCCAATCCCTTCACATTTACACTCTTAGAAAAAAGGGAGCGATTTTTCTCAACAAAAAAAAAGAGTAAAATAGCTAACTCCAGTTTCACCCCCCTTTCACTCTGGGAAAGGAGCGAATTTACTCCATCACCAAGAAGTAAAATTGCTCTTTTCCTCTGTGAGTAAAAAGGCTCCCNGCTAACTCCAGTTTCACCCCCCTTTCACTCTGGGAAAGGAGCGAATTTACTCCATCACCAAGAAGTAAAATTGCTCTTTTCCTCTGTGAGTAAAAAGGCTCCCCTCAGAAAGTGATAGGGATGTCATACAAATCAGAAAATTCTCACATATATTGTGTGTCACTTTCGCTCTCGTCTAGGCGTTGACCTACCTCTGACTGTACGGATTACAGTACACGTCAGAGGTTGGATCACCTCTTCTAGGTTGTGCGGAGTAGCCGGGACATCAGTCCCTTATTACCTCATTTCATTGAGATATGACTGAATGAAGTTCACGAACACACTGTATATTCTAGGCCTCCTATGCAGATAAAATCATACGCGTTCCAAAAGGGTTCTCAATAGGAATATGAGCTTGGTTATGGCCTGGACTCCATGAATATGGCTTGAATATGTGGATAACAAATGATGAAGAAGACTCCGCTGGAGCCACTGATACTCAAGCTGCTCGCCCCTGCGGAGCAGCCACTGGCAGCTTTTCACGCCAAACTCA